TCACTGATGGGTTTAGAGAAGAATGTGGGATTTCCTGTGAGATTTGCTGGGGCACGAAGTGAATAAGATTTCAGTCAGGGAAATGATGATTCTCTCTGGAGAAAGCTGGCTTGGAAAGTGCAGTGGTTCAAGGTCATCCAGAGGAGCCAGAAACTGCAACATTAGATAAGGAGTTGGGCGAAGAGTTAAGTAAAACAGAAGTCTCTGAGGGGAAAAAAATACCTGGAGCTACAGAGATCAACAATAGTCTTCGTTTACACATTAGAGCAGAAAATAGGCAGTGCCAGTCAAGGAGATTATGTGGGAAAGTGGTGGAGAAAATTAATGGGAAATTGAATGATTTCATGTGTGTCTATTAAATAATAAGCTGTTTACCTAAATGTAAATTCTGGCAACGTAGCATTTGCATTAGAAGCTATGCCTGAGTTGTCTGGTTCTTGTTTCAAGTCAAGCCTTGGTTTTGGATTTCAGTATCCTGGAAGTTTTCTATGTTCTTATTTTTGTATTTCTGCTCAAGTTTTACTAAGTATACCTTTTTGCTTATAAACCTATGCTTTACTTATGATTTTTGGCTATTCTTGGATGTGTACCTTTGGATCTGTATGAGACATTTGGATTACTGTTTGATTATCACTTGTTGCTTAACCTTTTTTGGATTATATATCTTTTTTATTTATTCCTGATTTTTTTTTCATCTATTTTATGTGATTTTACAATAAACCTTTGGCTTATATTCTGGACTTTTGTGTGGTGCTGTGGTCATAGGCGTTTTCAGGCCTGGGGTGCAACAGATACTTCCTCTTCTGCCAGTCAAATCTCTTAGACTGATCCTGATGGTAAGGAAGTGAGATGGGCCGGTGGATGATGAGGCTCTCTTACAGATCTGGCATTCATGTTCTACTTTCCCTGAGGCAGCATGGTGGTCATTCAACAGCCAGAGAGGACAGCCTTGAGGGGAGATGGCACATTATTTGGTATTTAGTACAGCCAATGCCCCAACACCCCCAAGAGATTGAATGGAAATGTCCATCTTGAAGTGCCGCAGGAATCACCTGGATGGCTTATGATGAAGTGCTATTTGACAGCAGTTTTATTTTAAACCAGAGTATCAAGCAGCTGAATTATACAGAGTGTTGCTTAAGTGTCAGGGCTCGGCGGTGTTTGAGAAACAATGTGTTCTATCAGTAGAAAGCTTGGCATGGGAAATATATCTTACGTTGGCTATAGCCTTTGCCAAACGCCAGGAGAATCCAATTAAAATGTCCTGCGTTACAGCAATTAATCCTAATCCCTCCTTGAGTTGGACATGTATGAGAGTGGGGCTCATAAAACATCCCAGTGAACTCCTGGGGTTGCCTTTTGCTGAAGTCTGCAATTTTAAAATTGCAGCAGTACTGATATTAACCCTTGGAAGTATCTAAATGGTGTATTCACCAGAGGCGCTACAGGCCCAGATGCTCCAGAGCAGAGCTTTGCACACACTCCATGTTGGCGATACTCTTTGTAGGCGAGCATCATTTCACGACATTGTTTTAGTAGCAAACTAGAGGTCATAGCAATCCCTTATAAGAGAGACAGACACATCCATAAATTGTAATAACACTTTGTATAGGGACATAACATATATATCTTGAAATTCTTCCATTTGTATTTTTTAATGCATGATTTATTGTCTTTCTCGCCATATGCTAAAGGCCAGGCGCTCACCCCAACCTGAACTTCTAACTTATTTATTTATTTCATATCAAAAGCATTGCATACATTAGTATAAAACTGATAAAAATAGAAGGTGTGCAGGCAGCTAAATATCTTTTGACCAGAAACGGGCAACAGCAATGGCATTGTCTGTAACCTCCAACAATTCCTCCTCTGTACATGAGGCAGGGCACAGCAGATAAGCATTCCGATGCGGAGTTGTCTGTTCTGCTCCACAGTTACACAAGGTGTAGGATTCTTCTAGGCAGTGCCATTTTGCCAGGTTGTCTTTTGACCTGCCCACTCAGCTTCTGAGTCTGTTCAGGGACTTCCAAGTTGCCCATTCTTGGTTTGCCCCTGAAGGAAGACCCTCATGGGAGGCCATCCAGTTGGGATTTCCTGATTCAGCTGCCCAGAGGGATACCCTTGCTGTTGCTGGGGGGACACCAAGAGGAGTGGTGGTTTTCATGAAGCTTTTCCTTGATTTGAGTTTACTGGGAGGAGGCTGGTAGCCATGTAGTGGATGGCTTTCACAGTGTTCAACCTTATTTCTCTCACATTTAGCAGCAACTTCCCCTCGCACATTGGGGGGGGGCAATGCCAGCTAGATTGTAGAGTTTATCAACAGGTGTAGGTTTAAGACATCCTGTGATTATTCTGCATGTTTCCTTCAATGCTACGTTCACCTGTTTTGCACGGGCAGACCTATGCCAAACAGGGCAGGCATACTCAGCAGTTGAGTAAGACAAGGCCAGGGCTGATGTTCTTATTAATTTTGGGTCTGCACCCATGTGCTGCCAGTAAGTTTCTGCAGGATGTTATTGCGTGCAGTTATTTTGTGCTTGGTGTTCAAGCAGTGTTTCCTATATGCTAGTGTTGGATCTAAGGTGACACCGAGATATTTAGGATGGAAACAGTGTTCAAGCTCTTGACCTTTCCAGGTTACTTGCAATTTCCTGTTGGCTTCACGGTTGCGTAGGTGGAAAGCACACACTTGTGTCTTGGCTGGTTATCTTTGCAGTAGCTGGAGAGATCTTCCAAATGCTTTTAAACATTTGACTTCCAACTGCCAACCTTTCAATTGGCAAGATTTACTGCAGCTGGTGATTAACCGTGAACTGTGTTGGGAAGTTGAAATCTATCTAGCTTGTTAGGTTTAATATAGAATCAATCTGGAACTAGTTCTCTAGGTTAGCTAGCTGAGGCATGGGCAAACTTGGGCCCTCCAGGTGTTTTGGACTTCAACTCCCACAACTCCCAGCTATTAGGAATTGTGGGAGTTGAAATCCAAAACTGGAGGGCCCAAGCTTGCCCATGCCTGAGCTAGCTCAACTTGAGATGGGTTAGTCCTTGGAATCCAAGGAATCCCAGGTGCTGGAGGCTGTATTTCTGAGGAGGGAATGGGCAAAGCCAGCTGGGAGTATTCCTTGCCTGAGCAGAATTCTGGGGTTTGTAGTTTAGGGAGGTGCCTTTAACAGCCTCTCTAAACTACAAAACCCAGAATTCTGCTGGAGGCAGAATGAAAGTGGATTCATTCTCTAGTGTGATTTAGGATGAGAAAGGGCCATGGCAGGGTGCTCCTTGTCAGGTGGAAAGTCTATGGCAGGCATCCTCAAACTGCAGCCCTCCATCTGTTTGGGCCTCCAACTCCCAGGAGCCCTCATGAGCTTGTTCAATCGTCAGGAATTCTGGGAGTTGAAGGCCCAAACAGATGGAGGGTCGCAGCTGGAGGACGCCTGGTGTGTGGCGCTTCCTTGGCCTGGCTGAAGTGGCCCTCCTTGGCCGGAGGAGCGCTGCTTTCCTTCTGCGACTGGAAGAGAGGTGGCCTCGCGCGCGGACCGAGCACGTGCAGCCCAGGTGTCTCTCGGGACCTTTTGGGGATGGGAACAGGCAGCCGCGGGGAGGAAGGGCTCTCTATTGTCCTGACGAGGATGAGGAGGGGGGGGGAAGGCCTCGCTCAGGTGCAGACCCAGGGCGCAGGGCTCTCTCTCTCTCCCTCTCCAAAGGGAGACTAAAGCAGGTAGAAGCGCACTCCAACATCCAAAAAAGGCCCAATCGGAAGCGTCTTCCTGCCAAGGGAGGCTCGGAATTGGACTCCCCCTCAGAAGCGCTGCGCCTTTTGATTCGAAAGGAGGCACGCGCGCAGTGGTCCAGTCGGGAGGCTCGCGCTCTCCCCGCGCGCTCCTTCCTTCCCTTCCCCTCCGGCGCTCTTCTCCTCCCTCCGCCTTCTCTCATTCAGCGGCGTCTCACCTGGCCGCCTCCCCTCCTTCCCTCCCTCCCTCCCTCCTTCTCCGGCCACGCTCCCGTGCCTCGCGGGGCTTTGGCTGCGCCCAGCGGAGCGGGGCAAGGAGGAAGGGGTGGACGGGGGGAGCAGTGCAGTCCCCCTCCCGAGGTGCCTCAGCTCTCCCGCCCTCCTCCCGGCCCTGCAAAGCTCTCCGCTTGCCTTCCCCAAGTTCCAAACCTCCCCCCCACAAAAAAAACAACAAAACCGCACGTGGCTGCAGGGAGGGAGGGAGGGAGGAGGGAGCGGATCCCTTCTCTGGGGAGGCGGGTGACAGCTGCGGCGCTGGAGCCCCCAGGGGAAGGAAAGGGAAGGGAAGGGGGAAGGGAAAGGGAAAGGGGAGGGGAGGGGGCAGGGAAAGGGGAGGGAAGGGAACGGGAAGGGGAGGGAAAGGGAAAGGGGAGGGAAGTGAGAAGGAAGGGAACGAGAAGGGAAAGGGGAAGGGCAAAGGGAAGGGGGAGGGAAGAGAAAGGGAAAGGAAGGGAAGGGAAAGGGAAGAGGGAAGGGGAAAGGGGAGGGAAGGGAAGGGAAAGGGGAAGAAAGGGAAGGGAAAAGAAGGAAGGGGAAGGGGAGGGAAAGGGCAAGGGGAAGGAAGGGAAGGGGACCGGGACTCCGGAGGGAGAGAGAGAAGGAGCTCTAGAAGCGGCGCCGTCGAGCCGCGCGGGGCACTTCGAAACTGTCAAGTGTCCCCGAAAGGAGGGAAGGAAGGAGGGAAACTCCGGAGGGATGGGAGCAGAGGGTGGGGAGGGATCGCAAGGGAGGCCAGATAGGAGGCTTGCCCCCGCCCCGATGACAAGGCAAGGCAAAGGCAAGGGACCCCCTCTCCTCTCTTCCCCTCCTCTCTCTCTCTCTCTCTCTGGAAGCCAGGCGCCTGCTTGGAGGCAGCTGGGAAAGGGGACGGTGTGTCTTTAAGGGGCTGTCAGATCCCTCCTCCCCCTCCACGCCCCCTCCCTCCTGGCTCCGGGGGCCACCCGCCCCCTCCTCGCCCTCCCCCTGGCCCCCTCCCCGCCCCGATCCGCGGGCGCTTAAAAGGCGGACGGAGGCGTTGGAGGCGCAAAGAGCCCGGGCCGCTTCTTCTTCTTCTTCTTCCATCCTTCCTTCTTTCCTTCTTTCTTTCCTTCGGTGACAGCTCTTTCGCCGGGAGCCCTTCTTTTGTTGCCTCCGCAGCCAATCAAGGCTTTTGACGACACAGTTCAGTTGGGATATAAAAGGAGAGTCCGTCTTTCTTCGCTCGGCGCCCCCCCTCCCCTCCTCCTCTCTCTCTCTCTCGCTCGCTCGCTCGCCTGCCTTCCTTCCTTCCTCCCTTCATTCTCCCAGGCAGCAAGTCACCCGCCGCCTCCCGAGAAAGCAGCAGGAGGAGGAGGAGGAAGAGGAGAAGTGGGAGAAGGAGGAAGAGGAAGGGGAGGAAGAGGAGGCGCCCCCACCGACCCCCGGGAGAAAGAGAAGGAGAGCGAGGAAGCGAGGGAAGGCAGGCAGGCAGGCAGGCAGGCAGGCGAGGGTCGGTCGGTCGGCTGGGAGGGGAAGCCATGCGTGCGCCCTGGTCCCTGCTGTGGCTGCTGGTGCTGCTGGCCTTGGAGGTGGGCGCCGGCGAGAAGGCGAAGGCGGCCTCCTCCTCCTCGTCCTCCTCTTCGCCAGTCCCGGCCCCGTCGTCTTCCGCGGGTGCGGAGGGGGAGTCCGGCTCGGGCTGCCCGGTGTGCCTGTGGCGGCAGCACAGCAAGGAGCTCCGCCTCGAGAGCATCAAGTCCCAGATCCTGAGCAAGCTGCGGCTGAAGGAGGCGCCCAACATCACGCGGGAGGTGGTCAACCAGCTGCTGCCCAAGGCGCCCCCGCTGCAGCAGATCCTCGACCTGCACGACTTCCAGGGGGACGCCTTCCCGCACGACGCCGACTTCCTGGAAGAGGAGGACGAGTACCACGCCACCACCGAGACCGTCATCAGCATGGCCCAGGAGAGTAAGTGAGCGAGGGGTGTGGGGAGAGGGAAGGGAAGGGCTCCGAACTTGGTGGAAGTTGGAGGAAAGGAGAGGGCCGGCCCTCCGCCTTGCGCTCAGCCCGAGAGGCAGCTTCGGGTCCTGGGGACGCCTCGGGGAGGCGCGTGCCTGGCTCCTGCGCGCGGGCGTCGAGGGGCCTGTCTCCCTGGGAACCTTTTAGGTTGGCTCCTGGCTGAACTCTCCTCTTTTCTCCTCCGGAGAGCCGCTCGGCTTCTCTTCGCCTCCTCCTCCTCCTCCTTTTCCCATTCATTGTGCTGGTGTTTCTTGAACTTGTTCGAAGTTCTTGGCCGAAGCGCGGCTTTGTGCGGAGGGAGAGCGGCGCGCGAGGGCTCCCTGCAGGTTTCCCGAGAGGCGGCTCGCGCCAAGGGCCCGAGGGAGTGCGCGCCCCGGGCAGGCAGGCAGGCAGGCAGGCGCTGCGCGAGCGAGGGGAGCGAGGCTCTGCTCGGCTCGGAGGGATGCCCTCTCCGGCCAGGGGGAAGGGCCCGCGCGCACCCCTGCTTCCCTCCGCTCTCGCGGCCCGGCCCAGGCCTAATCCCTTTTGTGAGGTCGCCTTTCGCCAGCTGCGAACAGCGCGAGAAGTTTGCCCAGCCGGAGCCTTTGGAAAATCCAGCTGCCTCCCTGATTCTCTCCCTCCCTCCCTCCCTCCTTCCCCTCTGCCAAGATCCATGGCCCTTTGTACTTCTCCCATTGGTTGTAGGCTCCCCTGGATGGCATTTTCTCTTTCTGCGGGGGGGGGGGGGGGGAAGAACTCTTGTGAAAAAGCAAGGTGGCCTAGTGTCTCAGGAAAACATGCAAGAGTCGACCGGGGTGGTGGGGGTGGCAGCAGCGTGGCCCTGTGACCACTGCCATGGGCAGAGCAGTGGGGAGAGCGCCCTTGGCTCAGTCCCTTCCTAAACGCCCTCTCACGTTGACACCTTGGTCAAGAGGGGATGTTGCTCTTTGGAGCTCGCTCACCCCGGCTGCTCTTTTCTGGGCATGTTGTCCTCTGAAACAGTGGACCCTCCTCCTTTCCAAGGGCCAGATTTCATATTCCCCACTGGAGATCGCAAAAGGTGCATTTCAAGCCTCCTCTTAACTTCTCCAGGTGTCCGTGGCAGAGTTGGTGATGTATTTTGGAAGGCTTTCATGGCCGGAATCACTGGGTTTTTACAAGTTTTTTGGGCTGTATGGCCATGTTCCAGAAGCATTCTCTTAGGAGGAGAGAATGCTTCTGGAACATGTTTTATTATTTTTGTTTTTTGGTGATGTCAGGAGCGACTTGAGAAACTGCAAGTAGCTTCTGGTGTGAGAGAATTGGCTGTCTGCAAGGATGTTGCCCAGGGGACGCCTGGATGTTTTGATATTTTATGATCCTTGTGTGAGGCTTCTCTCATGTCCCCACATGAGGAGCTGGAGATGATAGAGCAGTGGTTCTCAACCTGTGGGTCCCCAGGTGTTTTGGCCTACAACTCCCAGAAACCCCAGCCAGTTTACCAGCAGTTAGGATTTCTGGGAGTTGAAGGCCAAAACATCTGGGGACCCACAGGCTGAGAAACACTGATAGAGGGAGCTCATCCACGCTCTCCTCGGATTTGAACCTGCGAGCTGTATAACATGGTTATACAGCCCGAGAAACTTAGAACAACCCAGAATTGGTAATGGTTGATAGGATCATAAAAAGCCTTTCAACTGTAAGGTAACACTTAGAATCATAGAATTCTAGAGTTGGAAGAGATCTCGTGGGCCATCCAGTCCCAACCCCCTGCCAAGAAGCAGGAAAATTGCCTTCAAATCACTCCTGACAGATGACCATCCAGCATCTGCTTAAAAGTCCCAAAGAAGGAGTTTCCACCACACTCCAGGGCAGAGAGTTCCACTGCTGAAGAATTCTCACAGTCATGAAGTTCTTCCTCATGTTCAGATGGAATCTCCTTTCTTGTAGTTTGAAGCCATTGTTCCATTGCGTCCTAGTCTCCAGGGAAGCAGAAAACAAATCTGCTTCCTTCTCCCTATGGCTTTCCCTCCTTCCCATCATGACTCCTCTCAGCCTTCTCTTCTGCAGGCTAAACATGCCCAGCTCTTTAAGCTGCTCCTCATAGGGCTTGTTCTCCAGACCCTTGATCATTTTAGTCACCCTCCTCTGGACCATTCCAGCTTGTCAACATCTTCCTTCAATTGTGGTGCCCAGAATTGGACACAGTATTCCAGATGTGGAATACTTGATGCACTTTTTAAAATGCATCATGTTCTTCATGTTGTCTTGTTTCCTCCTTGGAATGCCTCAGGACAGGTTCATAGAGGTGGCTGAAGGGAATCTTCACCCACTAGCTTGAGGGCAGCAGCCCAAGTGTTGGTACCCTTGCATTTTCTTAACTCATCATCTGCAGGCGAACACAGCTGGAGGCCAGGATGGCCAGCTGCTCCAAGCTGGACAACAGTAGGCTTCAAGGTTTTGTTGTGTGTATTTTTGCACCCATCATGGATTCTATGCTGTAGAGTAGCAAGCAGGGAAAGCCTTGGGCTTTCAGTGGTACCACAATTATTTCTTTAAAACTCAAACTAAATATATACTGTAGTTAAATATATACTTTGCCCATCCCAAATCCTTATCTGGAAATTGTGTTCTAGCACAAGCTCACTGTAATCAGTTTTGACGTAAGGCCCTCCCCTATCTAGATGGGTGAAGCCCTGCATCAAAACACAGCATATAATAGATCAGTGGGTCTCAACCCGTGAGTCCCCAGGTATTTTGGCCTACAACTCCAAGAAATCCCAGCCAATTTACCAGCTGTTGGGATTTCTGGGAGTTGAAGGCCAAAACATCTGGGGCCCCACAGATTGAGAACCACTGCAATAGATGGTATGAATCTCCTTAACAGTGGTTCTCAACTTGTGGGTCTCCAGATGTTTTAGCCCTCAACTCCCAGAAATCCTAACAGCTGGTAAACTGGCTGGGATTTCTGGGAGTTGTAGCCCAAAACACCTGGGGGACCCACAAGTTGAGAGCCACTGCCTTAGAGGTTCATCACATCCATTATTTGATGGCTGAAATTCGAGGATGACTTACCTGTGGCAATAAGCCATCAGAGATACAATGCTATAGGTAGATCATACCAATGCCTCACATAATCTTAGTGGATTGCTTTTGAGCAAAGTCTCATTTCATCCATACAGTTGTGCTTACTTGGCCTGTTCACCTGCAGCTAGAAAGAAGGTAAACAATTCAAATCAATTTCTGTTGCTTTTATTTAAATTTGACCAATGGTGTTGGGGCTATCAGGTGCATAGTACTCAGTCATGCATTTGTGTACACACACAAGACTTTTGTAGCTCTAACTTTCACAGACCACAGATTCCCAATCTGTGGTCTATGGACCACCAGTAGTCCGCAAGGACTAGAATATGGTCAGCGGCCTCATCGTTACAACACTGTTGCAACAAGAGCAACTGGTCTGGCGAAACCCTCTTATATAGCGCTGAGGTTTATTAAATATGGTTTTCTGTGGGGGAGCAGATGCCAACTACTAGACTTCTGTTCTGTGTAGAAACTAGAGTTGATGTGGTCTAGCCAATGCAATTTTCTGAATCGGCACCATGAATAACCAAACCAAATATAAAGTTGATCAAAAACTGATTCATAATCCTTTTGGTACTAATGTTGGAGAGTGGTCCCTGGTCAAAGTGGTTCCTGATCAAAAAAGACTAGGAACCACTGGTTTTCACAATGAGCACTGGACATCACCAAGGGGTAAATGGGATTTTGACTAAGTGTGCCATGATTCTTTTGGCCGGTAGTGTTTTTTACGCTGCTGTTCAACTAATTTTAAAACACCTATATCATTATTATCATCATTTATTTATATAATGTATATGGCCCTTTACAAGTAAAAGAACAACAAAACAGTTCCCTGCCCTTAGGCTTACAAACTCATTAAGAATATGACACAAGAAGAAAAGGGGAAGGCAATGTGGGAGGGGACCATCATGAATGCTAAATACTACCAGTGTGTTTGCATAAGAATGACATAGATTTTTATATGGCAGTAAGAACTGTTTGCTCATTATGCAGCAAACAACTCCACTCGCACAGTCATATTTGATTCCAGCCATGACCCACATAAAAAGAAGCACCTATGTGGCAAAACACTGCCAACTCCTTGTATACCACAGAAGTAGTTTGCCTGAATCTGAAAATATTTGTGCCTTATTCCTTTGTAATATTTTACTTTTGAATCTTCACCTATATTCATATTTTGAATTCTAGAAAGCCTGAGCACAAAAAAGTGGGTAACTTGATCACACAACTGTTATTTGTCTGTAAATCAATCAACTGTCCATAATATCCCTTTAAAACTTGTAGCTGGATCATCATCTTAAATCCTTAAATTTCAGGATCCTGTGAACTAGTGAAAGGAAGAACAGTTAAAATAGGCTTGAGACTGAAGTTGGGTCAGACAGTTGATAGGATGAAAGAGATAGAGATCTCCGATTTCTATAATACTATAATCTTTGACTTTAGCCATGGCAAACTTTGCAAATACTGACAAATATGACCCAGTGGTAAAGCTTCTGCATGATTTTGGAGCAGGCATGTAGCCGGGGGGTGGATGGGGGGGCTTGAGTCCCCCCCAAAATTCTCATGGTGGTTCGCGAAAAGGCCTTACTGGTGCATTATTTAAACTGTTATGTTTATTCATATCATGATCACCATACTCAATATATCCCATATGCATGGGGGTATAGGGGTAACGATACAAAAGGTTTGCTAGGGTAGACCCTCTTTCACTCAGACTCAGCCCCCCCCCCCGAAACAAACTCAATCCCCCCCCCCCACCAAATCGAAATCCTGGCTATGGGCCTGGGAGGAATTTGTACTGATGATACCAACTCCATAAAGCTGAGAAAAGTATGCTACATTGCCAGTCAAAAATCTGTAATGTATCAGAGGCTAATAAACTGATTATTAGCCAGCTATCCAGATCA